AATAATAACTTGAGTTTATAGTCGGTACAATATTAAATATATAATATTTTTTTTGTGCATTGAACGTCAAATCAATACTCAAAGCTTAACCTAACCTTAATAAAATCTTTTACATCGTAGTATAATCTAAAATCAAAAGAGCCAATCAAAAAACAAAGAAATTCACAGAAGAATGTATAATTGGTTGCGCATTCATACATAGTTATAATCTTTCTAACAACAATAACTTTGAAACATTGTAAAAACGTATTACTGTATAACAGTAAGTGTTATTTCTAAGAGTACTACATATCTAGTACACAACTTACAAATGACCTAGGTCAGTAGTAAGTAATGGTGGTAGTAGTAGTAAAAGTAGTACCTAGTAGTAGTAGTAAGATGTAAGAAAATATTTAAGTATTTTGTTCATCGGTTGTAAATCCCCATAATAAAAGTTAAAATACAGTGAGTTGAACTTTTAATGGTTGTGTGTTCATACATAACAGTAAGTGAATGTACTCATATGCAATAAGTGCATTTATATGAAATTATTATATGACAAGTTAAATGCAAGGTTTATGTTACACAAATAAGATCATACATGGTCTTCAATGTGATAAAATCAAGTACACCTAAACCATCACCACTATGTATCAAATAACACACATCAGTAGTAAATAATATGGGGGGTAAATACCTGACAGAAGTTTTGTACAGCAGATTACTGATTTCAATGATTATACCTATGATTACCCATGATTTCCTACAATTATTACCATCACCTTGTACACTGAATACCCCCAAGGTGTTTACCCCTCGGTTATTTAGTGTTCTGTTTAGGTCAATATACCCACAGTAAAAGTTGATATGTTAGTATAGTTAGATATGCATTTGAAATTTGAAACAGCGGTAAGACAATAGAATGTCGTTCAAGGTATTCTACAATTTACTTTATTAAAATAGAGATTTAGTTTTGAAGAATGTTGTACCGAGCCAGTATAGTATAGTAGGTATAGTAGTCTGTTATGTACATAAACAATGTATATAATATGTATCTAAGAGCACAGTGAATATTAACACGGAATAAACGTAAACAAATCTATTGTATTAACTTTTGAAATAATATAAACATTTCTAAGAGTAAAACATGTTAAATGATAAAATGCCTATCTAGTACACAACTTACAAATAAAGGAAAGTATACCTAGGTCAGTAGTAAGTAGTAGCAGTAGTAGTAGTATTTTGTTCATTAGTTGTAAATACCCAACAGATAGTTAACTGTGACTTACACTACCTATTTCGTAGGAGTGGATATACAGTTTATAATTTTAACAAAATGAATAAAAATAAACTGTAATTTAATACAGAATTTTAACCTCCAACAATAAAAAGAAGAATATAGTAGTAAATATGTTACACTGTAGTACAAACAAAGTTAGTTGTATAAATTGCTAACAATAAGACAATAAGTGAAATGATAAAATACTTATCCAGTATACAATTCACAAAGAGTTGTGTACAGAAACAATGCATATAATATGTATCTAAGAGCACAGTGAATAATTAAGCATGTAACAAAATTCAACCGTAGGTTAGACACTACTTATTGTCATTGGTTGTGAAATGATATCATTGGTACTTACAAATAAAGGAGAGTAGACCTAGGTACTAAGTAAGTAGTAGTAGTAGTAGTAATAATATTGAAAACTGTGTAAGAAAACATTAAGTGTTCTGTTTAGGTCAATATACCCATAGTAAAAGTTGATATATTAGTGTAGTTATAAGTTAATGTAGATATTAAAATAAGCTTGACCCAGTGTTTGATATGCAATTGAAACCTGAAACAGCAGTAACACAATTGAATGTCGTTCTACAATTAAATTTCTATACAATTATAATATGCCATTATAATAGTATAGTAGTACAGAAAAGTATAAGTAGGTAAAGAAACAATGTATATAATATGTATCTAAGAGCACAGTGAATAATGAAGCATGGAAGGAATTTAAACACTACTCTTTGATAATTACATACTATGGAATAAAAGTAAACAAATTAAATTAAATTAGCACTGCAGACATTTTTGTCGAATGATAATTAAAAAGTGGGCTGCACTATCTAAAAAAAACCCTATATTAAGTAATTCCCATATTGTTAAATGTGTTGTATATCATTGTAATATCATGACTTTTGTTATTTTATTATGTCATTCATTTGATATCGTGTATTAAACAGTAGGTACCTCTTGTGAGCTTATAATATGTATTATGTTGCAACAAAAACGTTGAATGTCATAGAGTTGAGTTATTAAATTAAGTTAGGTTGCTAACACACACGGTAGGTACATTAAACTCACGAGAGTACACAAAAGTATTAGTGACAAAATGTAACCGTCACGATTTACTGCAATGAAATGATATTTATTGAGCATATTATGATTTCTACACTCACCAAAGACGGCACTGCTCCGTGCCGCAGACGTCGTCGTTGTGCATTTCCTGCAGCGTAGTCAACACCGCGGACGAAATGCCTCGAACACAGCTTCGATGCGTTGGTCACAGGAAAACCGCGGTCCACCACAAATGACGTCCACTCGACTCGATAAACGTCGATTGTTGGAAATCTAAAGGTGACATAAAATTAATGATTTTATTACATTGCTATGCATCAACGTGATGTGTAAAATAATTGTAAATACCCATGTACTGAAACGCCATCGATGTTGTCCACTATTCCGCATATAACGCAGCGTTTGACCATTTTGAATAGTCTATATTATAAGTAAAAAGTAAAAAGTAAATACTAAATAATATGAAAACATATTACATATGTGTTATTTTTAGAAATAATAGATAACCACCGGCTTAATGTACATACAAAATAGAAAAATACGAAAAATTACATAGGTACCCAGCTTTTTACTAACGCAAAATTCCAAGCGATAAAACACGTGTACCGCAATGGTAACGCGCCGAAACGGCCAACGGACTTACGCGTCTACACCTCTCACAGCTAATACGAATGAAAAACGTTATAGATATTCAAAGTAAATTTTGCGGTGTACGAAAAAACACGAAACGTGCGGAAAACGAATGACGAAAAACGAAAAACGTGTGTAGGTGGTGAAAATATGTTCATTCGCGATTCTGCCATGAATACACCTGTAGTTTATCTTAATAAATATTATTATTGTAGGAGATATAAAAGTCGTACTCACCGGTATGTGAAAAGCGCCCAATGAAAAACAACACAACTCCAAGAAAAGCACCGAATATTATATAATACAACGTATTACTGTATTAGGCTTTTCCGCGTTGATGTGCGTTGTAAGAGCGCTGGTCGCGAGTTGAGGCAGGGCGCAGGTTGTGCGTTTCGCGTCGCCAAAGCTGTCCCCCCGCGGCTCCACTCCACCGCAGTGCGTGTGTAAGCCGACCCCGCGTAGCGTATCCCGCCATAGTCTTGGAACCGTTATCATAATGTTGGTAACCACGGGTCTAAGAGACGTCTAACATCATGTTGGTGCGATTTCATGTTTTTTCGATCCTACCGCGTCGAACCTTCCGACGCATGACGTATTTATAATAACGGTCGTACGTAGACAATCACTCCTAAGCCCTAAATCGTAATAATTGACAATTTTTAATTTTACACACGCATGCATAAACACATACCTACACAATAACACAATACCTATATACCTATAATGTGACATGTGTGCACACATGACATGAATCATAACGCAGTGCCTACACATCAATATGAAAATGTAATATAAATATAATAAGACATTAAACAAACATTAATATATTAAAAATCGCGTAAAATATATATCTATTACGGGAATAACGGGCGAAATCCTAACGAAGAGTAAAACTCGAATTTTGACCTGAAATCGTTGAAATCGTGACGACGCAGCGCTCTCCGCGATCGACTCGTCCGCCGCGACACTCGTCCGGGAGAAAGCGCGGCCTATAAAATTAGAGGGGAACGCGAATAAGTCGTCTACGGGGAGGGCAGAATTGTCGAAAAGGGCTAGGACTGGAATTTTAGAAACAAACGGCAATAAACGACTCGACAAATGTATTTATGCCTGTAAATAGCGTACCTACTCTCGTTTCCGCGACGCCACTCCTCTCCGGGACTCGTATGTGAAAAAGTAGGGCCGCGCGCCGGCTGTAAATTTAGCGTGGAACTCGAATACGTCGCCGGCGGGGAGGTCGGACGTCTCGTAGAGTTGCTAAACGCGACTCTAGTCGAAAAAGTCGAGAAAACCGTCGAAACGGCGACGACGCGGCGCTCTCGGCGATCGAATCGTCCGCCGGGGGACTCGTTTTTGAAAAAGTAGGGCCACATTTAGCGGGGAACGCGAATAAGATCCAAACGGGGAGGTCGATGCGCCCTAAAACGCCTAAAACTCGAATTTAAAAAAAAAATGCAAAAAACGCGCGCGACGGCGGCGCTCGTATCGCACGCGACATCCGCCGCCGCGGGCCCACCGGGAAAAAAGTAGGGGCGCGCGCCGACTATAAATTTACCGAGGAACGCGAATAAGGTCCGAACGGGGCCGCCCGAGGTTTTCGAAATTTCTTTGATTTTTGAAAAAAACAGCAAAAAGTGATAAGAGGAGTGATAACGCAGCGACGGCTCCGGGAGACCGCCCACGGTTAGAAATGTAATTTTCTCATAGGCGGGTTCACTAAGCAGTTCGGATTTACTCCATAAGCTGTGCCACACGGGTTTTCGTTTTATATAGTAAGACTAGATTCTAGAAAGAACCTGAAATTATAAAATTATAGTATATAAAAAAATATATACTAGGTGATTCTTTTATCAAAAAACACTCATTATTTCAAAAAGTGTAAATTTTTAAAAATATAATTTTTTAATAAAAACGTTGTTTTATAAGCGACTTGAAACTATGTAAAAAAATATTTTCAAAAAAATTTACACTTTTTGAAATAATGAGTGTTGTTTGATAAAAGAATCACCCAGTATATTAATAAAAGAAAAGTATATTTTAGTTATTTTGTATTTAATTTTTTTGGAATATGCTGAAGTTGTATCGGTGTAGTAAAAAAATCAGTCTTGATAAATATATGTTCACCCAATACTCTTGATGAGATTTCAATATCTCCGCATGTTGAACACTTTGAATTTCTGTTCTCTGTGTATACATTTAATAATGTTTGTAGTTGTTTAATATCACTGTTGGACGGTAAAATTATAGTTGGCGATGGTCTTGTGATATATCCACATTTATTACAAGAAATACATTCTGTGGCACTTGGTTCATCTTTCAAATAACTTTGAATTATTTTTGTTGCATTACATTCAGAATTAATAGTTTGTACTTTTAGGTAGATCTCTGATTTATTAAAATGCATTAGTAACAAGTCTACTCTTCTTCTATAAATAATTTTGTTTAGTTCTTGAATTGCCAGGTCTTTTGAAAATTGTAAGAAAAGGTTTTCACAATCATTGATATACCGCTTATATGAATTTTTGTCATTATACGCCAATGCAATGGCGTCAAATGCACATGTGTTGGTAACCATATAAACAATAAACATACTTTTTGATTTTGCACTGATTGGAAATGTTTCCATTGATCAATAATGTCTTTTTGTGCGACCTCATTCTTGAACTATTCAAAATTCGGTCGATGTCTTGACATGGTTTGGTATACTTAGTTGGTCTGGTAATTTTTTTTTATTTTTTTCAAATGGTCCATTTGGTATGTTTTTTAAGCCCATCCAACTCTCTTCTTCTTTTAATGTGTCAATGCTGTCACAGGACCGTGACGAGGATGTATTGTACGGGCTCATTTTATGACATATTAAATTATGGTCCTCAATGTTGTCATCGAATTCATTTTGTCCCAACTTCATGATTTGACCATCACCAAAATCCATCCGACTTTCAGATTGTATAGTGTTGTAAATGTTGTCATTGAATTAATTTTGTCCCGACTTCATGATTTGATCATCACCAAAATCCATAAAACTAGCAGGTTGTATAGTGTTGTTAATGCTGTCTAATGAACACGACGAAGATCTTCTTTCTCAATTTATTTTAATACGCTTTGTGTACTCATAGTTGTCATCGAGTTCTTTTTTTGGGGATTCAGGAAATAATTTTTCCCTTCTTGTTATCGTCATTGAACTTTTTAAATTATTTAAATGGGTAATTACAAAACGATCCGCTGTCATTGGTTTGAAATCATGCTTTAAAATTTTGTTTTTAAGTTTAGAAAAATCACCTTCTACTGATGCTGAAATCGCTGTAGAGTAAGGATATTTGAAATATTCTGACATAACATTTGACCATAACGGAAACTGTTTGGAAATACGTAATACATTTTTACGAAATCCAGGATGAAAGTATGCGTTTAAATCATCACTTCGTACTAATGATTTTGAAGAGCTTTTTGAATCAATATCGTTTAAAAAATCATTGATGTATAAACTTGAACTCTGATCAATGTTTGCTTCTTGTTCAATAAAATCTTCAATTTCAAAAAACTCTTCATCTGAAGTTTTTAGATTTGGGATTTCAGTAACCCCTAAGGAAAATGAATAAATAAACTAATGGAACAAATTTAATATAAAACAAATATTGCTTAATGTACAGTACGAGTCGAATGTACCCCATCATTGAGTAAACCATAACTACAAATGTGTTAAAGGAAATCTATTATTGATTTAAATTTTAAATTAGTGTATACGAAAATTATCTTGAAAGAAGACAGCTTCCCTACTCATTTATTTTTGCTGAAAATATTGTATATTTTGAAAAAATTATTGTGTGTATAAAATTAATAATATTCGTTACCTACAAGTTTCAACATCCACTAAGTTTTTAAATTAAATTAAAATATTTAAAATCATTATTTTTTACTTAATATTCAATTTCGTCAACGTTTAAATTCCAAATGTCAATGAAACGATTGTGCTTATTTATTTTTAGTTTGTATGTTTTAGTGATAAATACTTATGTTCACGCCTAGTAATTAGCGATACGATATCGTTACCGTTGTGCCGCGGCGACGACGACCGTCCTTTACTTATCATCTCTCGGCTCCACCGACGCCTCTCATTATTTAAATGTGTATTATTATTATTTTTGTATTCATTATAATTATCAATGTTCTTTGTCCGTTATTATTGTATATCCTCTGTCTTTGGGCATGATTATCATTGTGTGTAATCATATCTTCTTTTTCTCTGTTTACTTTATACGGCCAACGCCCCAGTTTGTTTTTATTATATTGTAGTAAGCGAGTTACTACGCAACAACTAAAGTTCTAGCAGGTAACATATTCAGGGTAGTACATTGTAGATAGGTGACAATAAGATATGTTAATGGGAAATAGAAAATATCTAATTAGGTAGCCTTCGATTATGTTTAATACAGTATAGTCAAAAAACCATGGGAGTATTATGGCCAACGCGAAAGGATAAGCAAATTACATTTTATTATATTATATTTAAATAATACCAAAACAGATTGACACCATCATATTCTACAATCATGTTTTGCAATCATGTAGAAAAGGCGGATGTGATATTGGCAATAGCGTTATTCAATATAAAAGAGTATAATATAAAAAGTATAATAGTTTAATATAATACAACGAGTAGCCAATAAATTAACTATCAGTCCATTATAATAATACGCAGAATAGATTAGAATTTCGCAAGTACGTGGGCCGGGTTGATAGTCACAAAAACCACATCCGTTACAAGCAAGATACAATACCACTAGGCAAGGGGAGCGGGGACCGAACTATAAGAGGGACCCCGAAACGGCTTGTATTCAGACGTGTCCACTCAACGCTACTGCAAGCACCTTCACGCAGCTCCGTATAACGATTGTCAATTTTGGACTTAGCACCATTGTGATTGTTGGAACTTAATAAACAACAATATACTTTTGGCATTTGTGTTACTATTATTCAACTACTACCTCATCTTCACAGTAAAAGGTCTAGTTGCCTGCAACTGTTAGTATACTAGCTATTAGAGCCACCAGTATATTACAATATTATCGTATGCTGTGTTGTTGTCGTGTACCATCTTCTACTAAAAGTTGTCTCGCTCTTGTGTTTTTTTGATCCGCTATTAAAGCAATCTGTATATTATTATGTGTTATTCACTACAACAGTGAGCACCAAATCTATATTATACTTCATTTATTTATACTGCAATGCGCACCTGGGGCCCTATTCTCTAATTTTGTCGCATTCGACATAAATCAGAACTCGATCGATTCATCGTCGAACTCGATCGATTCGTCGTCCATGGTATTCTCGAAATGATGTATGACTTTTCTCGAACGAAAACCGTTCGATATTATGTCTACTGCTATATCGCATTCGACAAAATTTAGTCGAATGATTTGTTAATTTCATGAGCACCATAGATTTAATATATTTCAAGCAAATCAACTGCAGAATACTATGATTATTGATAAGTCATCTTGTATTATTGTGTTTAGGTACTTGTATTACGATTGTCGATTACCTTTTCATTTTGTTAATTTATTATTGTTGTTTTATTTTATAACTGCTGAGTTAATATTTTATTAAATATAACAATAATGGCGAATGAATATGAAAGAGCTATGATGTTTGCTATTGCTAATATAGAGATGCAAGAAGCTCAAAATGTCAGACAACCGTTTGGCATTAAAATAGACCCTTTATTAGCATTAAGTGATCATCTTTTTATTAAAACTTACCGATTGAGTAAAGTTTTAACAAAATATTTAATCGAGTTAGTCACTCCATTTATGGAACCACCAAAACGTACGTCGGCTTTGAGCATCCAAAATAAGGTAATAAATAATAATTAATAACAATAATAAGGTAGGATTGATTAGTAACAATCAGTATCAATCATATTTTGGCGGAATATTTCTGATAATAAATGAATTTTAGGTTATACCATTGTGGTTCACTCGACAAGATTATTACAAGTCGACATAATCTCGAATGCGACTAATTTTAGTCGAATGCTTTTGGAGAATAGCGTTTTGCAGTCGACTACGACATAATCATTCGAGTTTAAACGCACACGACTTCTTGTAGATCGATCTCGAGAATAGAACCCCTGGTTGCTCACTGTTCTTATTATTATTATACTGTGTGTCGCTGTTATACAACAATCCACTCAATAAAACACGATTTCATACCCACAACTGAATGCGTAAGTCATTATTATTATTATTATTATCATCGTCATCATAACGAGCGAGTCGTCCGCGTAAGTCCGCCAGCAACGTACGTTGTGTGAGAGGCCGCCCAGGTCTTCGAGAGTCAGTTCTGAGCAGCGTCTCCGGATATTAATACGCATATTACGTCGCCGTCTCCGGACTTCCGTAATTATTTAAGTTAGTTTCTAAGTACTGGCCTTATATTGTGAGCTCTGTGATCATTACACCATACCAAAATCGATCACAGAAACCCCTCCCCATAATTAAACTGCATCATCCTAAATCCAAAAATAGGTCTATCCCATCCTTATCGTCGTCGTGCAACTATAATTGCCTATCCGTAAACAATAAGGCGTAGGCATATTCGGTTGCTTACTTACTATTAGTAGGCACCTTTGCAAAAAGCACTAATAGTGATAATCTCGTCTAGGTTGTTATCGAGTGGTCCTTCAGGTAGCCCCCCTATTGTTGGGCGCGAACAACTTATGAATCATGATGAACTTTTTACTAAATCATATGCATTGGATTCTATAAAATAATTTTGCAAAATATGTTTCTTAAGTTTGATGAATTTTATAAAAGTTTGCATTACTAACTATATACATATGTATAATTTAATCAGTGCTTGGAAAGTTCCTTTGAAAAAGGAGTTAGTTCACGTTCACGTTCCTCTTGCAAAAAAAATATTAAGGAACTAAATCCTTTACCGTTGCTGTCTTGAAGAAAGGAACTAGTTCCTTTCTCCGTTCCTTTCCTTGTTCATTTTCTCGTTCCTTTTTAATGTAAAGTAAAAAAAAATAAGGGTAAAAACATAGGTACATTTTTATACTTTAATTGTTTTAATTTAAACAGTACTTCTGTACAATATATAACTATTACTATCAGTGGCGTAATAACGGATTGGATTTTGGGGATAACCCCCCTCCACGAAATTTTTGAATAATTAAATTTATGAAGAGAAAACTAAGTATAGGTTGATTTTCATAGATCTTTAAATTAGCTACTAAATTTCAAAAGAAGTTATATATTTTTCCCTTTCAATTCTAAAAATGATTTAATTAATTTTATTTAAAAATTAATGAACGAAAAAAATCTTTCATGTTCTAAAATGTGAACGAAATTCCAATACGTTCCTAAACATGAAAAAGGAACTATGTTCCCGATAAGTTCCTAAAAATGGAACGAAATCAAAGGAACGAATTCCTTTTAACGCGTTCCTTCCAAACACTGAATTTAATACAAAAGACCGCCTTCAAAATAAGAGAAGTATTTTTATTATAAAACGTGTATATGGACAATAATCTTAAAAGAAAAACATACATCATACAAATGTTGGAATATGGTATAATTATTGCAAGGTTCAAATTAAAAATTAGGAATAAACAATAATTTATAATTTCAAGAACATACCTTTTATTTTACTCAGTAATTTCTTTTTTGAAACTTCAGATGGGCAATCAGTCTCAATTGATTTCGTTAGTTTTCCACAATATCGACTCATAGACAAAGTTAAAATATCCATTTAAATTGTCTTAAAACTTTCCAAAGTCTTAGAATTTATCAATAAAATAATAAACCTGTAATTATAAATTATCAAAAACGTTTATTTTTTGTTGATATGTATTATTTGAAATACAGTTATGTACCTGATATAAAATTCTTTTAAATGAGTATTTCCAATTCCCTTTCAACATTTCCATCGAATTACTAATTTGACTAGATGAGCTATATCGATTCGTATGTAGCACAATGTGAGCTTGGTCTGTGTTTTTCTCTCTAATATTTTTAAACATAAATCGACGTATTCACGTAATTTTAGGCCACCACAAAAAGCTCTCGATATGGCACCCAATAATGCCATAGAATAGTCAGTTACTGTCTCTTGTGAGTTGTGGTGCAGTTACTCCGTCATTTAACCACATCATCAACCAAGAATAAATGGTAAATGTATCTTGCCTTTCACTTATCATTTGAGTCACTAAAAATGTCGAAATGTATACCAATGACCGTGAAGTTGGCCCACCCATAATGTCCTATAACTTTGAAATTAGGATCAAACGATAGCGTGTTATTTGCGAGAATTTGCGAGTCCACTTTCGGAAATGTTTGCGAAATATTGATGGGGTGGCCTAGTTCACGTAGCCCACCCATGTCGCTCAAAAATGTCGATATTTATACCAAAAGATGCGTCGCGATTTAGGGGCGACTCAAGGGCCCCATTTATAAAACACAGCTAAAAGACCCTGGTGCAATGCACCTCCTGCACCCCCTCTAAGTACGCCACTTTATATATTATAGTATATGAAAATGATACAATATGTATTACTGGGTTACTTATATATTAACTACGTAGGTATCTATGATCAATATTTTACCTTTTTATTCTCCATGATTGGCAATAAATATTGTTTAAATATGATTAGAGTAACACAAAACTTAAATAAGAGTACTTATTAAGCAAGAAAAAAACAAGACGTTAATTCATAATAATTGTATTAAAAATAAAATAACACATGTTGAGGTTAGGTACTAGTACTGCTCGACTCACTGACCACAGACAAATAAACCAGAATTATTCAATATGGGTGAAAAGAAACTTCGTGTTCAGCACAAAAATAATAAATATCGATAACTATTATTAGGATAAATTTAATAGGTTCTAATTTATTTTATTAATAGATGTTTACTGCAACAGTCGATGCATAGGTAGGTACAAACAATCAAAACCCGTATGAAATTAATATTATAATATTAGTGAACAAGATTGTACAGGATTACAACATTATATAAAATACTAAATAGTTATAATTAGAGCAATTTTTATGTTAAAACATATTTTTATTGGATGTATGCATAATTACGAGAGTAAGATATGTGAGCGATTCATAGTACAAAGAATCTAAATACAAAATTTTATTTTGCATATAAATGCATATTTTGATGTTAAAGGAATATATTCATATAAAATCATATTTTTGCATATTTCATTGATTAAATATGTATCAAAAAAAATTTTAAAAAAATGTACATTTCAACCATAAGACTGATAATAGATAATCTGTCTATGGTTTCCTAGCAAGTGTGGTGTACTGGTGTGCGTGTGTGAGTGTGTGAGGGTGTGCCAAAGTGGCGATCATGTGCAACAACCACACCTGCGTAAATACGTTGTTGATCTGACTTTGTGTCAGAAGGATCGGGATACACGGGATTTTAGGTTTAATTGAAGTAGACACTGTTTATTGTTGAGGCGTCAAACTGGTGATAAAGGCCCGTATCGTCACAATTTCAACGGCTGCGATAATATGACGTGACCTGAATATAATTTATATTTTGTTACCGCGTAAATTATCATATGTTTTCCTCCAGTGATAATGACTTATCAATTGCAAAAAATGTTGTGTCAGTGTACCTATTAATATTTAAAATTAACAAATAACAATTTATTTTGTAACTGTTGTGTTTTTATTTAGTTTATTTAGTATTTTCTTAGTTTGAATTCATTACAATGCCGAAAGAACGATCTAAAAAAATAAGTCTGCTGAAACAATGGATTGAATCTTTCAATGCAGATGGTGAAGTTTTCACAACTAACGGTACTGTGTTATATTGCCAGGTTTGTGACCGTCAAATTCCGTGTTTAAAAAAATCACAACTTCTACAGCACGTCGAAACCAATATTCATAAAAATGGTATAAAACGAAAATCAAATTCATCTAAACAGATATTTTTTTCTGAAGCTACTACTTCAAAAGTTAACACTTTCAATCAAGACTTGTGCCTCAGTTTGGTCGCTGCTAACATACCATGAAAAAAATTACAAAATACAGAATTTCGTCTGTTTTTAGAAAAATACACAAAAAAACATATTCCCGACGAGAGTACTCTTCGCAAAACTTATCTGGGACCTTGTTATCAAAATGTTATATCCCAAATTAGGGATGAGGTAGGTGATTCTTACATCTGGATATCAGTAGATGAAACTACTGATATCAATGGTCGCTTTATCGCAAATCTTATAATTGGGGTTTTACATAGAGAAAAAGCCACACGCTCTTAAATTATTTCCTGTTAAGAACTTTATAAAACAAACCATTCCACCGTAACACGTTTTGTAAATGATAGCCTGAAAATATTATGGCCCACTGGAGGAAATGATGATAAAGTGCTTTTATTGTTAAGTGATGCTGCACCATACATGGTCAAATCAGGTGATGTTTTAAAAGTGCTATATCCAAACTTAATACATGTAACTTTTCTTGGACATGGACTAAATCGAGTAGCAGAAAAAGTCAGAGATATGTTCCCCAACGTTAATAAATTGGTAAATAATATCAAAAAAATATTTTTGAAAGCCCCTTCAAGAGTGGAAGTTTATAGAGAAATAATGCAAGATATACCATTACCTCCAGAACCAGTTTTAACAAGATGGGAGACTTGGCTTGAAGCTGTTGTTTTTAATGCATCACATTTTGAAGGTTTAAAATCTGTTATAACAAGATTAGACCCAGATTCATCTGCTAGCATTAAAAAATGTTCAGATATAATAAAAATTAAATCAGTAAAAAATGATTTAACCTTCATTAAATGTCATTTTGAAATTCTTGTTATATGCATAAAAAAATTGGAACAATCAAAATTAACTTTAAAAGAATCATTGGACATTGTACAAAAAGCATCCCAGGAGATAAAGGCCATCAAATTTGTTTGAAAATGGAAGATGTCTTAAAAAAAAAATCAAGGATATCAAATTTTGTTGGGTATACAAAATGTGCTATCTGGAGATGAAGATGGACATTTACCAACAAATTATTCACCAGATATGACTTCAAATATGAAATTTTCACCAATAACATCTGTTGATGTCGAAAGATCTTTTAGTTTGTATAAGCATATTTTAAGTGATAGGAGAACTCACATGACTCCTGAACATATGGAACAATATATTGTAATAAATTGTTTCATGCGTGATACATAAATTATGCATTTATGTAATTGCATATTTTTTTTATACATTTTTACATATTTAAGAAAAACCATAAGGCTGGTCAATAAAGTTTCTATTTTTATTTTATTTTTTCTACCTAACAAAAGATTGTTATTTAATTTGTGTTATTTTGTTTGTACTTTGTAAACATAAAAAACAAGGTTAAGAATATAATGTTTACCAACTATTATGTTAATAATGTTATTAATTTGTATATTAAAATAAATAAATTGATATAAAAAGCATATTTTTGCATATTTTACTAATATTTTTAAAGAATATTACAAGCATATATTTAAATTTTTAAGAGAATATAAGCATCATATTTTGGCTGTTTTAAGAGAATATAAATCCGCGCTCTAGTTATAATAAATCTATTTACCAAATAATTTGTGCGTGTTGAACTGTTATGACAAAATAATATGATTGTTAGTAGGTAATGTTAGTGAATTTAATTATGTAATATATTATTTAAGAATATTTTTTACGAGTAATATTCCAAGTAAGTAAACTTTTTCACAATAGTTGACTATTGTGTTTTAGTTCAAAATATCTCAGTTATTAATACACTAGATGTTAAATACAACAATTTTAATCTTCGCACCATTTCATCAAAACACCCACTATTTTTTTGTTCTCATGATGTGTGCAATGTTTATTTAATGTTTTTTTCTCGTAAGCACGGTATTTAGTACCTACTTGCGAAAAACATTAAGACGTATAAAAACGATTTTATTTTCGCAAAATAACTTGTAATATCCTCAAAATACCTTATAATGGTAAATATCAAATTTTAATTCTCCTAAGGAATTATGGAAATGAGTTTGGTGATTAAAATAGTGACTCGCAAATTCTGAAAGTGGACTTGCAAATAACACGCTATCGTTTGATACTAATTTCAAAGTTGTAGGGCAACATGGGTGGGCCAACTTCACGTTCGAATATTGGATTTTGTTGGTAAAGGGTCAACTCGCAAATTTTGAAAATGAACTCGCAAATTCTCGCAAATCGCGACGCATCTTTTAGTACAAATATACCTAATAAATTATTTCTACACATAATATTTAGGGACTTGGGTTGGAATCTTGAAGGGCTATAAAAATTAATTACCTAAACTTAATCGAGACGACACCACAGCTGCAATGAACAGTGTAAAATTTATATTTCGTTGAAATTGAATCAAATTATGATACATTGACACGTAATTGTGACAGACTATAATTTTAAAACATACCTATTACTAACTATAATTTATTTAATTCATAACTTAAACAAATGTATTGATTTAAAAAACAAGTAAAAATGCAAAGAAATATAGTAAATACTTATAGGTATGCAAAATCGTTTTCGACTAATATGTTAGTAATTACTAGGGTTCGGATTTGAAGGCAAATGCCTTTCTTTTATTAATCATAATAGAAAAATAATTTTTATACAAAAAAGTGTTTCATTTAATTTCTTAGAGGATGGATCTTTTTTTTTTGCCTTTTTTTGCCTTTTTACTTATAAATGCCTTTTTGCCTTTTTTTACCTTTTGTACTTAATGATGTGTTTAATTTTTCAGTTGATTTTATAATTTTATACACAGCTTGCGTTACAAATGGGTTTTATTATTCGCAATATTTATCGATATCGTCTTATCGAGTATTTGGTATGGCCATAAAATTACCCGTACACCTATTTAAAGATTAAGATATGTTCGTAATGCGTAGATTCAAAATTGTTCGTCAGTCCGCCCGCATTTGTCGATCGCAATAATTGTCGTTCAATAATTTTTCCAAGCGTTTATTTTATTCTGTTGTTTTAATTATGCCAAAAGTTAAACAAAATCACAATTCCAAGTTGAAAAAGTATGTTTCAGAATTCGGTGAAAATATTTTTTCAACCGATGGATTAATTTTATATTGTAAAATTTGTGACGTCAAAGTGTCAAGTGAGAAGAAATTCCATATCCAGCAACATATCGGAAGAGATAAACACAAAAATGCGCTTGCAAAAATTTAAAATAGTAAACAAATTCAGCTTTTCATTAATAAAAATACTATTAAGTCAGATTTCAATTACGATTTGTGTAACTCATTGGTTGCGGCAAGTATCCCTATGAATAAATTGAATAATGACGTTTTTAGATCTTTTTTATCAAAATATTGCAACAAAAATATTCCATGCGAATCGACATTACGAAAAGGATACTTTGATAAATGCTATGAAGAGGTTTTGTCGAAAATTCGTGAAGCTGTAGGTGAACATAAAATATGTGTGTGTATTGACGAAACCACAGATTCAGAACGCCGAAACGTGGCTAACATAATAGTTGGAATTCTACAACCAGAAAGTCCTGGAAATTTGCATCTTCTTCACACAGACTATTTAGATAAGGTAAATAGTAGTACAATCAGCTATTTGACAAAGCAATGCATATATTGTGGCCAACTAATGTAAAATACGACAATATTTTGCTTTTTATATCTGACGCGGCTCCTTATAGGAATAAAGCGGGTAGTACAATTCAAACTTTGTACCCGAATATTATTAATTTAACTTGTTTGGCTCATGCATGTCATAACGTCTGTGAAGAAGTACGAGCATATTATAAAAATGTAGACCAGTTAGTTTCTGAAAGAAAAATGTCCAGAATTGCCAAATCCACCTAGACCTATAATTACACGCTGGGGTACATGGATTAATGCAGTAAAATACTATTGTACAAATTTCAATGAACTGAAATCTATAATTGAAGAATTCGAAGAAGAATCTGAACGTGTCAGAGCAGCTAAAAGACTTTTTAAAATGCCATCGACACTAAGTAATCTGGTGTATATTGTATCTAATTTTGGATTTTTGCCTGACACAATTACAAAACTAGAAACAAGAGGTAACAAATATTATTTTTAAGTGTTTTACATATTTTATATATTAAAATATACTATGTATGTTTTAGGTGTATTACTATCGAAAAGTGTAGATATTGTAAATAATATACAAATTAAACTCGAAGAATGCAATGGCGAAATAGCTAAATTGATTTTGGATAAATTCAACAAAGTTATATCGAAGAACAAAGGATGGAAAAATATCAAAAAGATCAACCAAGTATTGATTGGAGAAACCACAAGCGATGACGATCTATCAAGTAGCAATCTTAATTTAGATAATTATCTAAGTATGAAATACGCCCCGATAACTTCGGTGGACGTAGAAAGATCGTTTTCGATGTATAAAAATATTTTAACCCCTAACCGTAGCCGTTTTTGTGAAGACAGCTTATAAAAATACATGGTAGTCAATTTTTTTTTTTAATACCAAATAGTTTATTTTGTATTAAATTAACTGGTATAACTCAAGTAAGTTAACATTTAAAATTGTTTTTAACTAATTCTTAGGACCAACCTGGTTAAAGAAAAAGGTACCTAATATATTTATACAAAATAGTATAACTTAAAGTAGTTTAGTATTCATGCTCATTTTTAATTTGTATTTTTCTCAAAATGAGTGTATTTAAAAGTGTTTAAAAAATGTTCACTATTTTATTTTGTAGTATATTTATGAATTGCCTTTTTATATAAATCAAATGCCTTTTTTACATTTTAAATGCTTTTTTTATTGATTATATTGCCTTCAAATCCGAACCCTATTTATAAGTATACACTATACCTATCTAATAACTATTTTTTAATGTTCTTTATATTATAAGATTCGATAGTTAATAACAGTTACAAAATTATACGTTGAGAACTTTGCTTTACATAAGGTAACCCTGATCCCTAGTAATAATATCACACACCGAGGTCGAGTTTCCGAGACCTCGTTAATATTAACAGAACGACACTGAGAGATGCGACCCCCAGGTAAAGAGGAGACGGTACAGCGGCAAACGCACAACTTCATGGCCCATCTGAAGTGCAATTTCATCAAGTTCATATTTTTTTCCTTGGGTATTAATGACTTTACACGTTTCCGTAATTCACTCAGTGTTTCTAATGGAGAAAAATCTACTCCGTTTTCTCTAAGCCATTGTTTAACAATTGATTTTATAGCATTTGATTTTGGATAATTGACAGAAAGAACAGAATGGTAAGATGCATTATCCATTACAATAACGCAAGGTTCCTCCAAATGGTTTAACATATCAATAAACCATTTCTTAAACATAGCGGCGTTCATTTGTGTGATCCACTATATGTGGTGATTTATTATTATTATTATTACTACCTATTATAAATTGTATTATTATTACTGTTATATTATATTGTGTGTGCTGGTCGCGCTCTGTGCCGATCGGCCGATAAGCCGATTGTTATATTTTTGTCTACGTTGTCGGCATACATCGACCGGTCGATCCGGGCCGCATATTAACATACCATACATTGCTACACGACCGGTCGTTTCTGATTGGCTCATTTCAAATAGCCCGCTTTAAATTTTAATATAATCATTATCATATTATCGCGTTATCAATCATAATATTGTATCACATACACGGTTTAAGATAAAGATATTGTAATTGTACATTTTTTTTAATAATTTAACATTTTCGGACTTAAATTATACCCCTTTTATTTTTTTAAAAGACATGTAACATAATTAGGTACCTTATACCTAATATAGAATGAAAATAAAAATATATTTTAAATGTATTAATGACCACGTCCATGGGATTTTGCATTTGGTAAGTTAGCGTTTACATTACTGCCAAGATTTCTTTTCCTTTTTTTTATACCAGATTCACATTTAGCTGGTCGACCTGATGGTAAACTTTTACTTCCTCTTGTAATATTTTGTGACCGCCTAGCAATAGAAGTCGGTTGGACAGACATTTTTGCACCAGATCTCTTTCGTAATGGTACCGATACATTTCCAGCTGTATGCAAGAATGTCTCCCATTGTCCTTCACTTGTAATTTTTTTTAATCGTGCTTCAAGAGTTTGTATTCCAGAAGAAGATGAACCATACTTTGTGTCATTAAATTTCATTAATTTTAGTATATTCTGAATAGCATTACAAGTTTCTTTATTTGTGTCGGCCTCTGCTATCTCGTGGCTTAAAGAAGATTGCATTTTATCTATTTAATTTAATTTATGGACATATTCAGAATTTTTATTTTTCTCAACTTATATTCTTTCATCATCAGGGATCACTACAGTCTGAGCAATATTATAGTTCTCTACATAAAATGGTTGAAAAAAATCAATTTTTAGAGATTTATCTCCTGATGCTAGCATAGCAATTTCATGTCTATCTTGAGGAGTAACAGGAGGGAAATTGTTTGACATTTCATCATAATGTATATATACTGCACATTGATGTTTGCAAAATTTACCATACTTCCCAATTGAACATGAACAACAACCAGCTTCTAAATTAACATCATAAGTACTTAAAGGATTTTTTTCACTTGGAACAATATAATTATTTTGTGCGCTATGAATAATTTGATTTTTTTTCACATAATTTGCCTTCTTAATTAATGTGTCCAAGAAAATTCTTGCTTCTCTATTTTTTGGATTTCTACAATTGGCAAATGTCATTAGTCGCCTACCGTAATGTTCTTCCAACACAGTGCAAGTGAAATCTAATAATGCAATAACATTATAGGCTTTAACTCTTGAGAGTACTGTATCCTTAAATATGCGTACTGTAATCTCAGAGTAATTGTTTGTATGATGAACTCTATTAGACTCATTCCTCCAAGCCAAACACCATTTTTGTCGACCATCAAATTGGTCTGTAATGTATTTAGTCCATTTTGGATATTCTGAACTGTTTATGGCACTATTAAAATTATATTCAGCAAGTTTTACTGTATCTGCATACAAAATATTTTGAAAATGTTTCATTAATATTGGTCGCTTATTTTGAGGAATATTATTTTTGGAATCCCAAAGCCAACGCCAAACTGCCTGACAAACATGAAATATACATAACAAGTGATCACTTTCAGGCCAAGTATTTTTAATTGCATTTATTTCTGCTTGAGCATTATCAGTAACAAAAATTTTAGGCCAGGCTATGCCACCAAAACATTTTAAACACACTCTCTAAGCAAATTAAATCCCGTACTATATGCTAAAAAAGATTGACCTGTATAAATAAAATAAATTGATAACAAAATGTATTAAAAAAATTTTCAACACTATATATTTAAACAAGAAAATTGATTAGTACAATTTATTTACCTTTTGTAATTATAATTGCTAATGGTACCGCTCCTGCTGCACATGGAGTTAATATAAAGGTTATTGAATGGTTTTCAGCGTCACATGCACTAGTGCTATCAACAAATACTATACCACTTGAAGATTTTAATTCATGAGCTCTTTGCATAAGAGGAGTAACAATAAGAAGAGCAAATGGATCTTCGACAAATTTGACAATTACATTTTGTTCTGAATATATATTCAATTTTTCTTTTAATTTCTAAGAAATAATAATGCAAAATAGAATAAAACAATGAATTATATTAATATATTATTGCATAGGTATTGATAATAGTCACCCTATTTGACCTACTTCAATCATTCCAATTCCAGAACGTGGACCCAAGTTCTTAATTCTCCATTCATCATGCCAATACTGAACTGTTCTATATGTTGGATTAATAGCTCCATTTGCTAAGTCTTCCAATGAAAAATTATCTTTTAACTCCAAAATATCCTCATGATACTTAAGAGCTTCAGAAATTCCCATATTGGAACTGAAGTACTCAAAAAATGTATTTTTTAATTTTAAGTCTGCTGGTGTAAATCTTAAAGTTTCAGCAGTATCTAAACTATGGGTGTGTTTATTATTTATAGTTATAATTCCACGAAGTCCATTCTAGAAAATAAATTATTTTAAAATTTGTGATTTTTATAAACTATTAAGCAAATTTATTACATACTTAAATATTTTAGATTCTGAGCGGTGAGATGAAGCTAGTAGTTTTACAATGATGTTTATTTTTTTATTTTTTTTTTATTCTGTAAACAAGAAGGAGTGCTTCGATTTCCATATACAAAAAAAAATACACACACATTGTAAGTCAACACATTCATTGCTCCGCTCAGAATCTAAAAATTAACTTTATAAAATAAAAAATAAATATATTTACAGATAAATGTTGTATTATTTTATAATTTATACTACCTATAAAAAAAATTATAATTTAATCAAATTATAGACGTTATTTAAAAATATGAGGGTTTCCATAGATATCTGTTGCTTAATTTTTTTATTACAGTTCTTAGTAAAAGGTACAGGCATTTACTCTTTAAACTTTAGGTTATTAGTTAATTTTACATAACAGATTACACTAATTAACAAAATCTTTACACTTAAAAAAATAAAGAGTGTGTGAGGTTAACCACCGTTACACTCTTGGGAAGTAAAACTTCTTTCATAAGTATTAGTGCTCATGAATTAGGGAGAGTGAGAAAAATCAATAAAAAAAAAAAAACACATGGTTATATAATATATACTACATTTGTTTTAGGTAAAGGTCGAGATTCATCTCGATTTAGTTTTTAATTTTTTTGTAACTCCATATTCACATTCCTCGGCTTTCTTTTTACTAATAGTGTATTCTGAAATATTGAAATATGTTCATAATCAGTAATCGTTATATATATATATATACAAAAAAAAATTGTATATATATATATAAACCGTTAAACAAAATTTTTGTAACAACTATCACTATAGAAACTGACGTACACAAAATACTTATATATATATATGCGTTTCATTTTTTGTGACAATTTTTTTTCATCTAGACCACAAGGCACAAAAAAGAAGTTTTACTTAAAAAAAAAAAACGCTACTTTATTTGTTGACAAACTTATAATAAAAAAAAAACTCAAACTCATACTCACCTTTATTAAAGTGTCTGATTTTCTAGTTGCTAACGTATCAAGCTTTATAACACAAGTAATAGTTGCAGAACAGTTAGCATTTTTAGAATTACCTTTTTTATTTTCTTCCCTAGACACTTTTTGGAAAGTACTATGATGACAAACAAATTTTTTTCTAAAAAAAATAAATAATAGGTAGATATTGTATAAGTAGAGTATATTTAATATTACTATAAGCAAACGTATGAGTAGGTACATGGAACAAATTTCAATTTAATTTTTCAAAGATATTTAATCACGATCCTTATGGACATTTACAAGCCCAGTATTTAATATTCAATATCAAAACATTTTACTTATCCCTATAATGTTGAAATATATTACCTAATTGGGATACTTTTATTAAATTCATTAAAATATGTACCTATAGACCATAGGTAGGTAATTATATTGTATTTTAGTAACGCAGAAACTACTCATTTTAATGTTGATTTATTTAGATACAATTTCAATTATCTATCTTCTGAATAATTTAAAGTAAATATTTTGTTTCTATTTTAATTTTCCTCATTTAAAAACAGATTTGTGTCACCACAGAATGGTTCCTCTTAAAGTGTAACAAAAAATCTAAGGTACCTATTCAAAATTATTGTCTTTAGACTTTGAAGATATTTAAAAATTACAAAAATCAGATGTTGAATAAATGAATTATTGATAAAAAATATGTGGATATGCTTTCTGAATTTTCCTCACATATTGACTAAAATAAAGGTACAGGGGAAAAAAATGTTGTAAAACAAAAAAAAATTAAACTTGTTGACTGATTTTATTAGGTACTCTTAAAAATCTTATGAATCTATAATTAATAATACATCTAAATAATCTAATAACATTCTACATATTTTGAAATAATTAAGGTGGATTTATACAAATTCACCTTGGCAATAATATGATATTCAATCAATTATGTACATTTTCACATTATTTATGTTATTATAATATTAGTTAAATTATATAATAATAATTTTGAACAATATTAGAATTCTATGAATTATAAACACAAGTTACAAAGTATTATAATGCTGATATTTTAATACAATAAATAAGGCAATAGATAGGTTAAGTTAAAACTAATTTAATATTTCAAATAACTAATAAATTACCTACTTAGATTATTACCTAACAATTAACATAATACTTAATAGATAAAATATATATGTACTAAAAGTGTAAAATCTTATTTAAATTCAAGTATAACAAAGTTCATATAACATATTATTATAATATCCTCATGCTATATAAAGGTGGGCAAGCTAATAACAAAAACATAACTTTAATTGGTTAAATATTAGGTCAACTTTTAGATTGTAACCATACCTAATAGTTAACATTAGATATATTTAACATTTTAACTAGGCACTATAAAAGTTTAAAGCTAATATGAAAAAAAATAACTTAACTCAGTTAAACAGAAGTTAATTAGTTTTTAATTAACACATATTATGTCACATATATAGTGATAGTGAAACTTTAAAATTTTTTAAAAATATAATGACTAAATATTTTGTTTTCTCAGATAAAAAAAAATCTAATATTCCGTCTTCTGACACACTAGCAGTAGTGATTTAATTAATTAGTTTTAACAGTTGCAGTTTTATATACCTACCTATAAGTAAAGGGTTAATCTATTGTCAAAGATAGAAATATAAACAATTAAAATGTTTATGTATATGTGATAGGCCATCAATTATAAAATATAGATAATAAAATAAAATAAATTAACTTTTTAACTTGTTAATGCCCACCTTTAACATAAGTATTGTTGTTCAACTTCCAACCCTGTACTGGGTACCCACATTCATTGTATAATAATCATGTATAAAAAAATTTTAAATACAATGTATAATTAACAGACACAATAGATATTAACAAAATGTTTGGAAATATAGCAGAGGTAATAATCTATCAATTTTTAAAATATTTTTATGTTAAAACTAGAAAACATTTACAATACCTATTAATAGTATAATAAACAATATTTAATATAATGCTACTATACTTTATAATATGTAATTATAATGAAATAAATGACTTTAAAAGGAAGGTACTAACGAACAAGTAATTTTTTTTCCATTTGGCATAGACGATCTTGAGTTCCATTTTAAATGGTTAATTTTTCCAAATTCAGCAACCCAATTATTACAATCATCTAAATTTGTTAAACTTGATCTACATTTTATAAAGTTTTCACTTTTTTCTATAATAACATTAGAGTAATTCGTTGGTAAAATCATGTTAACTTGCCACCTTGGTTTAACTTGACTATACTTAAATAAAGTAAACTTTACTTTATCAAGAGGTGAATTTCAACTTTCAATATTCAATTCTATGATTAATATTCTATTTCTATGTCTCTATGATATAATTATTCTATGATAATATTTAAATATTATAAGCAAATAATATGATAATGATTATATTAAAATTTAAAGCGGGCTATTTGAAATGAGCCAATCAGAAACGACCGGTCGTGTAGCAATGTATGGTATGTTAATATGCATCGTTGATCGACGCCGCTCGCCTAGTTTCGGCGCGTATCAGTAAATAAATATGTTTTTTGCACTTAATCAATCTATTCTATTTTATTATATTTTTCCTTAAAATCAACCACTCATCGCCATCAGTTTCAGAAGTGGGATCGTTTTCAGATTCAACTGAATCAAACATGAATGTGATTGTCATTGCGTAATTTTTTTTTTCCGAATGTTTATTTAATTTGAATGTTAACCAGTATGTCAAAACCACCGAATGCGAACACCGGAGTTGTTACACGATCCCGTAGTAACATGAATGAAGAAGAAAATGTTAACAATGAAGGACAGGAGAATGAAACGAATGACACACCGGAAGTGCACGCCAATAATATACCGAACGAACCGAATGAAATGAATGCGGATACAAGTAATGTGAATGCGAATACACTACTTTGTACTTTGTTGTCACAAAACGCCATGTTAATGGAGCTGTTGAAGTCACAACAAGATAGAAAATCGTCAAACGACATGACGATCGCTCCAGATTTGAACAAGTCTATTCCAATTTTTAATGGGCTAACAACGGGCGCGCAGGCTCAAGATTGGTTGCGAACAGTGAACGGTGTCGCTAACCTACATCGCTGGCCAGACAACTTCAAATTGCAGTCAGTGCGTGCAAATCTAGACGGTGCCGCCCGTCATTGGTTCGTATCGAGGGATATTGAAGATTGGGCCGATTTTGAAAGACAATTTCGCAAAACGTTCGTAGGCGTAGTGTTGACAGGTGATTGTTGGAAAGAGATGAGTCGTCGCGTCCAATTACGAAACGAGAATGTACGCGAATATTTTCATGAGAAAGTTTACCTGTGCAAACGAGTTGGTCTATCGTTTTACGAATCAAAAATACAAGTTTTGGAAGGTCTATATTCGAAGGATCTAAGTATGTATTTATTGGGCCGTGACCATCGAGACGAAGATGACTTATTAAGCGACATGGTCGAGTATGAACGTTTAGATACATCACGTGCGACACGTTTTCGCCAGCCGTCAGTAAACATGAAAGACAACGGTGTACAAAAGCCTACACCACGACAGCAGAATGATGCACCACAGTCCTTACCGACGAAAAAGGAAAGTACGAAAACCATGACAGATTACGAAGGAAAACCAACAGTCAGATCGTGTTATAATTGTGGCTCGAGAACACATATTTCACCTCAATGTCCAAAACCGAAGAGGGAAAAGGGTGCCTGCTATGAATGTGGTTCGACGTCACATCAAATAGGAAGTTGTCCAGGACGTACGAAACAGAGTTCCGACGCATCGACAGGGAAGCAGCCAGGGCTAATGAACATCGACGTGGCAGACGATGATGCACCACCCGTTGACTATCCGAAGCCGTACGAGGTACAATGCCACATAGACGTCCCTGTTGCCGAACATGAAAGTTGCGATGTCAAGTTCAACGCGGTGATCGACACAGGTAGTCCCATCAGCCTTCTAAAATGTGAGTTTATTCCAAATAATTATGCTGTAATTAAACCGGCAGGTGATAGTAATTTTTATGGAATTAACGGGGCCAAGTAAATATATTGGGGATTTTTGAAACTAATGTAACAATCAATAATAATAATAATAATAATAATAATAATGTTTATTTGCAAAAAAATTGTCTTTTTGTACATAGATAACATAACTTATTAAGTATAGTATACAAATAAAATAGTATAAAGAATTGAAATAAGTAAGAGTTTGTAAATATTTGCAGCCCTCCGATAAGCTAAAAGCTTGTGGTGGAGGGTTATAAAGAGTTCATAAAAAAAAAAAAGTATAGTTATAGTATTAGTTAGGTATAAAGAAATAATAATATAATAATATATAGCTTGCAATCATTAAGTTTATACAATTTCAAATTCATTAAAGTTAACAAGTTTTAAATACAGCTTAAGATGTCTTAAATTATTAAAGTCAAAAATATTAATTTTTAGAGCCCTACATAAATGTATTGCAACAGAGATAGAATTTTTTGCACCAAACTGTTTGTGAAATTTTGGAATTTTTATGTTGATAATTTTTTTGTATCTAGTACAATAGTCATGGTCAACGGCTGATAAAGTATCATGTCTGTATTTATATAGAGCAATTAAAATATTTTTGTAATATAAGCCATTTATGTTGAAAACATTTAATTCTTTGTACACATATTCATTATTTGTAAGTTTTGGTTTAACTAACAAGAATTTAATTAAGCTATTAATAGTTGATTTTAAAGAGGTTGTATGTGAGTCATATGCTTGTCCCCACACAACTATCCCATAATTTAGAATTGATTGAACGAGTGAAATATATATGTGTCTTTTTATATGAATATTAAATATATATTTAACATCATTAAAAATATAAAAAAATTTACGAATAGTATTTGTTAATGAATTTATATGATGATCCCACTTAAGTTTGTTATCTAAGGTTATACCAAGGTATTTTATTTTATTTACAGAAAGCAATGCGGTAGAATTATTGTTGGTCATATTGTTTATATTTTGATTGCCTGATGAATTAACGAGTATTTGATATTTTGTGTCTATACTTTCAAGATTTATGCTAAAATACATATATTTCGATTTGTCCAGGTTAATTTCTAATAGATTATTATCAAACCAAGCCTTAATTTTATTTATAACAGTGTTTGAGTTCAAAAAAAGCGAATTTACTGATTTGTCTTGAATCAGAACAGCAGTATCATCAGCATAGCAGATAGTATTCGCATTTATACTTAAATTCAGCAAACCATTAATATAGATAATAAATAGAATAGGCCCTAGAACCGTACCTTGAGGTACACCACATTGAACCTCTAATGGCGAACTTAAAGAATTATTAACTCTAACAACTTGTGTTCTATTACTTAGATACGAACTTAATAGTTCATGCATTTTTCCTCTTAAACCACAATAATATAATTTTTTAAGAAGTATTTCATGATTTATGCAATCGAATGCTTTTTTTACATCTAAGAAAATACCAATAACTTTATTACTGCTATCAAGGTTCGTATGGATAAAATTATTAATAGAAAATAATGCATCATCAGTAGATCTGCCTGTTATAAATCCAAATTGGTTTTTAGAAAAAAAATTTTACTATTTAGAAAGTGCATTATTCTATGTTTTAGGCATTTTTCGTATAATTTAGATAATGATAAAGATAAGGCTATTGGACGATAGTTACCACAATTTGTAGGGTCACCAGATTTATGTAATGGTACAATTATACACCTTTTAAAACACGACGGGTAAATACCCATGGAGATTGAATGATTAAATAATTTTGCCAAAGGATACGATATAGTACTAGCTGTAGATTTAAGAGTATGATTTGTGAGACCATATTCAAAGAAGTTTGTATGCTTTTTAATTTGTTGTATATACTTTTCTATCTCCTTTCTATCTATAGGTGTAACAAGTATTGAACTTAAAATTTCACAATTTTTATTTAATTCAGCCCACGATTTTGTTTCATAACCTTTCAACTTGAGACTATTTTCAATATTTTTTCCAACATTTATAAAAAAATTGTTAAATTCATCGCAAATTTGATTTTCATTATTGATTGTGACACCATTTATATCAACTAGTGTGTTAACTGTTATTGTTTTATTGCCTTTTTTACCTATAACGTCATTAATTATGCTCCAAATTTCTTTTGTATCATTACCTGCTTTGATAATCTTAGCTTGATAATGGAGTATCTTAGCTTTTTTAATTAGAATATTCAGTAGATTTCTATATTTATTGTATTTAATTTTGAACTCTCTGTCAAAAGGTCGTTTACGTAATTTGGCTGCCATTTTGTCTCTATGTTTAATCGAAATGATAAGTCCACAAGAGATCCAATCCTTGAGTTTTATTAAGTTTTTATTTTTAGTTTTAAAGCTATTGGTTGATAAATTAATAAGATCAAATATTTTTGTATTGAAAGAGTCATAAGACTTATCTTGTCTTTTACGTCCGCAGCATTTAAACAATTTTTGGAAGACGAATATGTAAATTTAGTGTTAGTCGCCGCAGGAGCACCTAGGGCTAACGGCCAGGTGGAAATCGTCAATAAATCTGTCGTACCCATGTTAGCAAAATTATCTGAGTCTACGAATAAATGGGACAGAGTATTAAATGTAGTTGAGTTTGCAATTAATAATACCATACATAGGTCAACTGGTCAGAGTCCGAGTGTTCTGTTATTTGGAGTAAACCAGGTTGGCATAGTGAACGACGAGATAAGGCTAATATTAGATAATGAAATAAATACGAGTTGTGTAGACCTAGATGAAGTGAGAACAATAGCCGCCGAATGCATAGAGAAAGCACAGGAGGGTAACGCAGCTCAATATAACTCAAAACGGAAAACTCCGACAATTTACAAAGAGAATGATTATGTAATGATTACTAACGTAGATGTGACGGTAGGTCATAACAAGAAATTAATACCTAAGTTCCGTGGTCCGTATGTAGTACGTAAGGTTTTGAACCACGACAGATACGTTATCGGTGATATAGATGGATTTCAGGTAACACAACGTCCATTCGAGACTATCGTTGGTCCGGACAGAATGAAAATGTGGATCAAGTTCTAATATACTTATTACAAAAAAAAAAGAGAAAAGATAAATCTGTTTTTTTATTACTAATTAATTTTTATTTACATAAGCTAGTCGCTGAGATTAAACGTTTTCTTTCCATTTAATTTTATTTGTATTCAAT